GCAACAACAAAAATAAAAAAAAGGCAAAGAACAAGAGGAAGAAATTTACAAAAAAGCAACTCTAATGGCCAAACATACTTAGTAGAGTGATGCTCAAATTCACTAGCAGTCAGGGAAATGCCAGTTAAATTGACAATGGACTAAAATTTGCATTCATTAGACTGGCAAAAATTAAAGAGCTCTAACATTTATGCCTGGCAGTGACATGGTGAAAAGAATGCTCTTGTATATCAGCAGTAGAAATGCAAAATCTTCCTACCATTTTGGAAAGCAAGAAGACAACATTTACTTATCTGAACAATACACATACCTTTTAACCCAGGTATCTATCTTCAGAGCAATTAAATCACCTATATATAAGGGTATAGGTACAAGAATACCATTGCAGCATTGTTCAGAGTGGTAAAACAAACAAAAACCACAGAAAAGAAAAGGAGGAAGAAATCAATTACTTCCCGTCACTAAAGAATAAATGAATGATGGCAAACTACAGCATGAAATATTAGGAGTCTATTCAAAACCACGTGGTTCTAAAATAAGCCTATGGTTACAACATAGTAGATGAATATGGCCGTAGTACAAAACGTTAACCACGTTAACCTTTGCAATGTAAGCATAAAGTACAGCGCTCAGAGGGTTGCAAACCTTGACTGGCGCAGCACTAGTGTCCAGTCTCTGGGCTACTGACAAGGTGTGTGTGCCTATTAGTGCTCTTAGTTTCCAAAAGATGAAGCATTTTAAGGTCTTTTTTGCAGTGATAAAAAGAACACAAAGTGGTACTCCTAGCCTCTGCTTCTTCTTATGTTTTCTTATGTCTCTTTTTCTATATGTCCCCCTTTTTGTGGGCCTGTAAGTTTTCTTCTTTCCCTCTTTTTCCTTTCCTTTTCTATATTTGCTTCTATCTTTTTCCTGTTTCTTCACCACCTTCTTTCTTTCTCCTTCCTCAGACCACTTTTGTCACTGCATTTATTTGTATTTTATATGTTTATAAAATGAAGTATTTCCTATACATAATTTAGAAAAGGTATTATTTTGTATGACTGTCTCTAAGAAAATAATATGCTACGCTATGCTAAAATAGCTATATACTCTCATGGTCCTCCACTAATTTGATTCCTAAGTGTCAGGTACACTTGAAAAAAGTGGGGGAGCTTTTATTACCTGGGCATTCCTACCCCACTGTAATCAGAAAAACTATTACTGTGCTAATATCATGACTTCACTCTCTTTCTTTTTCTGTTACAGGGAATTTTGATTATGCTGATGACCTTCAGCATTTTTGAATTACTCATTTCATTGCCTTTCTCAATTTTGGGGTGCCACTGAGAAGATTGTGAGGACTGGTGTTGAATAGCACTATGAGAATAAAGATGCATTATAATATTATTTAGAGTTGAATTCTGCTTCTTAGGAAAAGCCAAAAGGAGCATAGAATCTTAAGGCTGGCAGCTCTTTAAAGCAAAGGGGAGTGACCCACGAGAGGCAGTTCTGGGGACATTTTGACTGATAAAACACATTCTGCCTCTTGGCAATGCAGTCCTCCCTTCTCCCCAAATCAAATGGTCACCTTGGTGTCATCACCTCTGTTAGCCATTCATTCTTTCAACTAAAGGACAGCAAATGTTGTCTTGCCTTTGTACAAACAAAGATACGAATCAGAGCCCAGGGTCTGGGGTGACCCAGTCATCTCACTTCTCTGGTTCATGGCATCTCTTGCTGATTTCTCTAAGAGACTCCACCCAGTGGCTCCCACTCTGTTGTTGTGTAGAAAGATGAGTTGGTTAGAAGAATGGTTTGAGCTGCAAATTTTACAATAATGCTACAAGATCATCAATGCTAAAAGCTGATCAGCTAGAATAGAAACAAAAGTAAAAACAATGAGGACAAATATCAGCGGAGACACTGCTATGTTCCAGACATTATGCTAAGTGTTATAGGTGTGTTATTCATTTAATTTCACAAAAATCCTAAGGGGTGAATTTTGTTTTTATACTCATTTTATATACAAGCAAGCTGAGCACAGAGAGGGTAAGCAAGGTGCTCAAGGTCACACAGCTTGCAATAGCAGAGCCATAATATCAACAG